TCCATCCCCTACACTAGTGTAAGAGGTAAAGGCACTTCTGTTTGCACAGATATGTCTGGTAGCACCCACTTGCTCACATTGGTCATCAGATTTACTTGAGAAACGACCGCAACAATAATGTCATCTCCTTCGGCTATATTGGCTCTAGGCAGATCGTCGTTTCTCGCTCTATGCCAGGTGGGTTTAGATTCATTGGGACAGGATTTAAGAAAAATAATTTTCGTTTTGTGATCAGGTTTGTGGACGTACCTTTTGGGAGTAGCAACAACTCCATACATGACTGAAGGGGTGAACACGCGTTCTTGCCAGCGCCAAAAATTATGTCCAGTCGAAGACGTGTTGTTGATGTCAGATATAAGTCCTTAAGATTGTTGTAAAAGGCTGACAGAATCACGAACAAACTTTCCTGAGACGTGTAGTTTCACTGTCCTTAATAACTTATCCGCGGTGTATTATGCAAATCCTCCAGGATACAACAGGAACTTCCCAGAATATCTCTGAGGATATCAGAACTAGCAATGATCTCTAACAAGAGTGTAAAATTTATAAGAAGAAAAAGAGCTAAAGAATAATAAATCTCAGAAGAGAGAAGAATGAGAAACTGAATTTTATGTATTTTGAAATGGAAAATAGAACTATAGAGGAATCAATTAAATAAAAGAAATTAAAATTCATAAAGATAAATAAAAAAAATTAAAATTCATAAAGATTTTTAACGGTTGGCATATTTAATAAAATATTTTCGTTTGCCAATCAAAAGACTAACGTTGCAATACAACGTTTCAATTCACAGTTAATGCTTTTTAACTTTGCAATAATATAATATTATAACACAAAAGTAACAAATTGTTAGAATATATAGTACAAACCTTGTTCATCCTTCCCATCCCATCATTCGGAGAAGCTTAAAGCTTAGATGATGTTAACTGTATGTCCAGAGATGCTTGTCTTATGTTTTTTGTTTGTAACCATTCGAATATGCAAACAGAAAATATCAGTAAATGAGAAAGAAACAGATGACACAAAAAAAAAAACAACAAACTTAAATGGGATGAGATTTTCTAATTTCTAGCGTTTTCGAAAGAGGATAATAACGAACCACGTACACTCAGTAACAAAGGACAAAGGAGAAAGAAGCATTCGATTTCTGAAAACTTAATGTGGATATCAATGTGACTTGATTTCCTTTCCCAATAAAATAAAGAAGCATTGCGTGAAGAAACATTATGTTGTTTACCGGATTTCAACCCAGGGATTTCACTTTTTCCTTTTCTTACTAGATATTGAAATTTTGTTAAGTTTTTCTTATTGAATTTCAAAATTTGAAAGATTCTAAAACTAGATATCAAAATTTAGGAAATTCCAAAATTATATTTTAAAATTAAACTATATACATGCTTCAACCAAAATAAACGATGATGAATTCTGTTAAGATGAAATTGATTGAAGAAGAAAAACGTGGTTGAGTCTGTTTGGTGAAAATAACTTGGGAAAAGTAAATATAGCAATAAATCAGTAAATATAAGTGGGTAAATAGTAATTACAACATACCTAATTAATTTAATAATTTATATATATAATATATAGGTTTAAGTGAAATTTGGGGATGTAGGAAAAAAAGTGGGTAGGAAGAAGCCCCCTTCTTAATTTGTTATATGTGAGTGTAATATTTATGTACAATAGGCTTAAGTAAGGGAGAGGAGCCCATTAAGTTCCATTTAAATATATTTGTTTTTATAGATAAAGCAAAAGCTTCATTTTAATAAAAAAAGTTAGGTTCGCATTAATTGTTTCATCAAATATTATATATATTTCATCAAATATCATATTATTAACTTTTAAAAAATATTTATTGAATCTGCCACCTATATTTAGTGCCTTTGATACTAAGAAAAGCTAATATGGAAAGATCCAGTTTTGCCATATAAAATACAACATATACTTCCACTTAAGTTGAAAACCATCACTGTAGCTCAGAGAAAACAAAATACACCAACTATTAATAACAACCAAATTTAAATATTAAGTTCATCACTGCTGACATTGCTTGTAAGAACTTCACCACCATGTTCTCTTCCCCTTGGTCACTCCTCCCCTTTCTTATGAGTGAAAAATACCTAAGATATAACACTGAAAGAATTTTATAAGAATAATTAAATTATTAGGAAAGGCTTCATTATCACTTATTTTAATATATGTTCTCAAATAAGTTCGATAGATATATATTACTATAATTTAAAAATATATAAAGAATAATCAATAGTTAAAAAATAAATGAAGAACTAAAGTATATTTTAGTAATGGTGAAGAACAAACTATTATTAAAAATAAATTCAAATAAAATTCGTATAAAAAAAATTATACTAACCAGTATTGTCATGCAACTTGTTCGATCTTAACGAAAGGAATTCATGTTGACGGCCACCGTGCATGAAGTCGATATCTCAAGTCATAAAGAAACTTGAAAAGCACATGCCTGAACTTTTTGTTTAAGAAAATAGCACAACAAACTCCCACAAAGCCTGTCACAAATCCAGATTCCATTCCGATGTAAAACCATACAAAAAATTTAGATTGATTTTCGTCTTCGTCTACAAGCTTTGTGTGTTTATGTTTATCATCCTGAAAGCAGATTTTGGTAAGTGGGGATCCACAAAGATCATGATTGCCCATGTAACTAAGTGTACTGAATCCCTGAAGTTGTGTGCCTGATGGTATTTTGCCTGTCAAATTATTGAATGACAGGTTCAAGTAACCCAAAAAGGACAATTTGGATAAGCTCTGAGGAATTTCTCCTCCAAGTTTGTTTGTTGAAAAATCGAGGGACTCCAAGTTTTTCATGTTTCCGATCTCATTTGGTATTTCTCCTGATAATTTGTTATTGGATAAATTCAAGGAAACCAATCCAATGAGACTAAACATTTGTGGAGGTATTGTTCCGGACAAATTGTTACTTGACATATCAATCAAGGTCATAAAGTGTAGGTTTCTATCATAGTCTAATGCTTGACCTTTAGTAACCAATTCAAGACTGTCATCGTTTCTGTAGAAACGACCAGGATATAATGTAGGAAACTTAAAAGAAAGCTTGTTACGTGAAACATTGTTGAAAAGTAGGGTTTTGATATTACCAAGACAACTGGGTATATGACCGGAGATTGTGTTTTGTGCAATATCCAACACAATGAGGGAAGACATGTGACATATTTGTGGTGAGATTTTACCAGTAAAATGATTGGATCTTAATTGAAGAGCCAATACACCATGAGATATCCAAAGTGGTATGTTTCCTGATAATTGGTTATTGCGAACATTGAAAACCAAGAGAGAGCGACAATTTTGTAATGAGAGAGGAACTTGTCCATGTAGATTATTCTCATGCAAATGGAGTGAGGCGAGATTAGATAAGAAGCCTAGTGATGAAGGTATCTTTCCTGATAGATTATTGCTTCCCAAGTGAATAGCAACCAAAGATTTCCAATTCTTCCAACAATTCGTAAGCCCTCCAGATATATTATTCAATGATATGTCCAAGTACATCAAATTATTTTTCCCATTCGACACATTATGACCACATAAGAGGGCAGACAATTCTCCTGATAATAAATTATTTGATAATGAGACAATAACCACGTTTGCTGATAATTGAGGCAAGCAACCTTTCAAATGATTTGATGATATATCAATGATTGTAGAGTTCAACAACACATTTGACATGTCTCCGTCTATCAAATTGTCTTCTAATTCGAGTTCAATCACTGATGATACCAAATTCCAAAATTTGTCTGGAGCCTCAAATGATGAATCCCATATAGTTAATCTTTCAAGATATTGTTGTGTATAAAACCACGCAGGAAGGTTGGGATTTGAAAACCCGAGTACTAATTCCTCAAGTTGAAATGGTGGAATCCAATCTGAGTCAAAATCAAAGATTAATCCGACATATGAGTATATGCCCAGTTCCTTTAATTTTGACAATTTGGCAAAATTTCTTTCAGACACAACTCCTGTCAATGGATTTGAGCCAACAATCAAGGTAATCAAGGTTGATAGATTTCCCAAATTTGTGGGAATAGATCCTGAAAAGTTGTTTACTCCAAGAATAAGAGTTTCTAAACGTTCGAAATCACCTAACCAATCTGGAATGGGTCCATCAAAGTTATTGTCTTCCATGTTCAGGAAATCTAGTTCTCGAAGATTTAACAAGTCCTTGGGTAGATGTCCTATTAGAGAACTTGAGCTAAGGTCTAAAGTATAGATAGTGGAACTAAGATTGAATAACCACTTAGGCAACTCCGAGTTAAATTCATTTGCAGAAAGACTAAGAAATTCGAGTTTAGTAAAATTAGCATACTG